TGTGCAACCACTTTCAATTTTTGAAGTTTTGGCAAAAGGTTCACAGTAAAAAGATTAGTATCATTTCCACACACATTAATGCCCAAAATTTTAAAACAGCTAGGGTTCCACTGAAGTCCATGGTCTTGCATAGGAGAATTTTGGCAATTATTATTTGCACCCAGGTATAATGCTTGGCATTTATTCATTTTTATTTTGCACCCAGACATGGTAAAGAAAATATCGGTTTCAGAAAATACTGTTTTGATACTTTTTTGTGACCCATCACAATATACTGTTGCATCATCTGCAAACAAGGAAATTTTAATTTCTGTATTTCCGAGACATATACCTTGTATATTATGGTTTTGTCGCATTCTACATGCAAATATTTCAATTATTAATAAGAACATATATGGTGAGAGACTACAACCTTGCCTCAAACCTTTCTTAACTTGAAACATTCTTGAACTATAATTATTATTAACAACAGTGCTTTGACTTTGAAAATATAAAGTTTTGACCCACGTAATAAACTACCTATTTACTACTATGAATTGTTTCTTTTTACATATTTGATTCATCTCTGATTGACCCACTGTGTGAATGAGAAAATATCATGTGAGAAGAAACCATGCATAGTTCATGCACTGTGATGTCATGTAATATAGTCAGTTATATATTGGTAATATTTGAGCCTGATCTAAGTTACTAAGATCTTGGTCTCTGGCACCCCTAAACACATCATTTTAATGTTAAACCATATTCGATTGTAATTTTTTTTATTTTTTATCTTTGTACATTTGGCATCGTTATGTCATAAACTGACTGGCATTAGATTTTTATCAATCTACCTACCTTTGCTTTTTCCATGTTCTGTATGAAGTGGTTAGTTCCACATGAAATTTAATCCTACCTTGATCTTGTAGAATACCATTTATTCATTGATCATGTGCTTTCCAGTTACACACTGAAGTTCAATTTTCTTACATAAAAGGTTAAATTATTTATGACTACCGGTACTACCGTTGCATGCATACCATACTACTGGTAGGCTTCCTGTTCGTGAAACTTCATTTTTACCATTGATACCTAAACAACTGTAGCCCTGCACCATACAATGTTCTACATACGACCACAGTCACCTCACAATTGTACCATTGTGACTTTACCTCAAAGCAGCTATCGTCATGGCTACTTAGATAATTGGTGCACGGAGTCGTTTCTTGTTTTGTTGTTGTTGAAACGCGAGATTACTGGGCATACCTGGTTGGAATGCCTTGACGTATTTATATTTATTTTCAAATTAACGTATATATGATACTGTATATACACAGTTCGACTTTTTTTGTTATTATTTCCTTGTTAGACTTGCTTATGGGTGCCGCTGCTCGATAACCAAATTTGGTTTCTCGCGGCTCCCCTCACCCTGAAATGCCTTTTATTTATTTATTGCAATTTGTATATCAAGTGTGCATTTAGTATGGTGAGAAAATAAACTACTGATTACTGATTACTGTCTTCGTATTTGTCTTGGGAGTTATTAGGTTCTCATAAAAATCAGCAGCTATGTTTGCTATTTTTTGTGGATCTTTAATTTGTTTCTCCTTATAGTGTAAAAGATTGATATTATTTTTGTTCACATTATATTTTTCTCTTTTTAGAAAGTATGCATTGCATTTGCTTCTATATTCGGCGTGTTTGATTCTGCTTCGAACCATTGCTCCCTGGGCATCTTGCGCAAAAATGATTTCAAAATTCTCTTTACTCTAATTTAATCTGTTTATTTCTTCACTGGATTTTGTTGATTTGTCTTCCAGATCCTTAATGTCCTTTTCAAGATTGTCACAAATTCTATGATTTTCCTTTTTCTTCCTTGAAGCATATTGAATGGTGTATCCCCTAATTATACATTTCATTGTATCCCACATTGTTGTTGGTTTAACATACGCATTTGAATGATCTCTAATTGTTTGCTCTATTAGTTTATGTATCAGTTCTTTATATTTTTCATCTATTAATAATGAGTTGTTGAATTTCCCGTATCCTGGACCACGATTCTCCTTTTTCCAATTTATGTCAAAACTCGCCATTCGATGATCCGATTGAATACTTGTCTCGTGTTCACTATTCATTGTATATACGAGAAGTGAAGCAGATATGAGGAAAAAATCTAGTCTAGAGGCGACTGTTGGATTATATTGTTCTCTGGTATATTCTTTTACTCCAGGGTTTAGTTCACGAAAAATATCGACCAATCCCATTTCTTCAGCTATGCAGTTAATTAGATTCTGAGCATTTTTATTTTTATGTATTGCTTGTCCCCCTCTTTTATCTAAATCATTTTTCATTACAGTATTAAAATCTCCTCCAATTATTTGGTTGACACAAGTTGCCGCATACCTGACACAGAATGCGCAAACAAAGGTCACCGTCAACCCTATTTGCATAAAAATTAGTCAAAAATGACTTATGTAGGTCTCAACAAGGAAGTATAAACAAAGATGATTAGTTCCACCGAGAAGCGAGAATATTTTAGGTGTTTGCACCATTTTCTCCCACTACCAAAAGTTTGTCAGAGAGAGAGTTTATTTCAACAAACGTAAATGCTGGTCCGCTACGGCTTCCTCCGCGATCGAGTTCAAGCATTTAGAGCAAATAGATGGCTATCTAATTTCTAACAGAGGCGGACTGGTAATCGTAAGATCACTCATATTGTTGGGCCGTTTAAACGGCTTTCGTCTTCGACGGATAAAAATATTTGTTATGAGCCAATAACCTCGACTAACCCATGATCGTTGACGCAATATAATAAAACACATACAACTGGTATGAAGCAAACAATATATTTTACGGGAAAATAAATAAATTGCAATAAATATACAAATGGCAAAAACCGTATGAAAAATTGTTAAACCAATAGTTAAAAATTATCTCCATACGCACGAACAATTATTTTCCCGTGTAGGATGAATTTTGAATGCATGAGAAGGTTCTGTTATTTTGTTATTATTAATCTATTGTTATTATAATTATAATATAATAATAACACATTTGAATAATAGCATCAATCACATTTTTTTGCCCCGAATGCCTGCTGGACCAGTACCGGTACGAGCAGAACTGGTGAATCAAGATGGGCATTTTGTTGGAGCGTGCTAAATGTTGTCTATTTTTCGTTTTATTATGAATACTATTAAAACAAAAAAAAAAAAAGTTGTTATAACTCAGTGTTGCAGGTGTTGTGTTCGTTGAGGGCCGCTTTGCTACTTCAAATGAAGACCGTGTCTTACCGTACTTATGGTCTCTTCAAAGTTTGTAATACTCGCTTTGTACTGTACTGTTTGACCCCTTTACCATTGGAGTGCATTGTTTGCATTCTAGTATAGTCCACTCGCAATTGTTCAGTTTGTAGAATTGAATAGGTAACGGTGCGGTACCTACCTGTATGTTGTATGTATGTACGGTATGTATGTTTCAATCAATCATTTTATTTCGGCTCTCTGACGTAAAACGGAACAACACAAAAAGTAAACAGGCAACAAATAGTACGTGCTCACCCACCAAAAAATAAAATAAGAATAATACAAGTATACAAAAAAATATGTGGCTCATCGTGCTAAGCGTTTGGAATACGCTCGCCACCGCATCTCTAATTACTCTGCATGGGTTCGCAGGTTCGAATCCTTTGCGGGATAGTTATGTGCAAGAGAATTGCTGGACTCCTCGCCGTCGTAGGGTGGTTCACGTAATCCCTGGTCTGTTACGGCTTCCTCTACCATCAAGTCCATGCTTCCGAAAACAAATAACTAACTAATCCCATACCCGGCATGGAATGGTAACCGGACGAGAGGCCGTGGTTCGTCATATGGTTAAGCCGTCTTATCGACTTTTCTCTCCTCGGGATAAATTTGTAAATCCTATCCTATCCTATGGACACGATTCAAAATCGGGCAATGCTTATAACTCAATAAAAACACATAATTCTGTAATTGCTGGAATCCGTGGATAATTTACATGGAGTAAAAAAGTGTTGCGCTTGAAATAAAACAGCAAAATTCGGGTAGATAAAATTAAATGTAATAGACTCCTAGCGATTTCCTCCATCTCTGATTGATGAAAACCTAAGGATTCAAATATTTGTATACGATTATGATAGCTGAGAAATCTCCAGGAATATACAGATATATATAAATACAACTGATCCCGAATTCTGGGTCTGGGATGTTTATTCGTCTCGTAAAGACTTATATAACAGTATAATGGTACCGGTACCAAATTTTTTAGTACAGACAATTTTGCATGCAGAAGAAGAATTAGGAATTTTAAGTGAAATTGATATAGGCTATAAATATAATAATGATATTAGTATAAGTATATTTTGATTTTTCTCACTACTTACTACTGTAAAAACAGAAAAATACATATTTGATTGAATTGAAATTTGGAAAGTAGGGTACTGAATGTTATTACTCTAGCATGATTGACAAAGAATAGAATTTATATATTCACTTTGGGTAGAGGAAAGCCCATTGCAAGCCACAGCTTCTCTTCCGGTTCATGTCGGGTACCTGTATAAAATTGATTAGTCAGTTTGTTTCAGATGCGTGGACTTGGTTTAGGAGAAAGTTGAAGCAGCAGTTATTTGAACCACCCTATTCCTGTATTCCGACCGAAATATATATTTGCAATTGCTTGTTCTAGTTTCACTGAATTTAATAAATTTCAAATTACAGAATTAAAATATATTCAATATTCCATACTACTGTTCTAAGCTATCAGCTTTTATCCTTGTATAGAAAATTATTCCCAAATTCGAGCTGTTTATTCTACTTAAAATTGTTGGGGGAATTGTTACCAATTCACAGACAGATTGAAGTTTTGAATCTGATTTAGTTGGATTCTAACACAGCTTGTTATGACGATTATTGAGGCATGTCTGGTGTCGGCGATAGAAGTTTCTTTTCAGTTGATAATATTTTGAACGCTGTTCTTCTTTGTGTTCCGACCTGCTGATTTTTATCGATAATTGCTTTTCTGTTTTGACGCGAGTTTCGCGGGCTTTACTGCATCTGACGTGTCACGCGTGGCTCTTGCATCTCGACTTTACGCGTCGTAGGACGTTCTCGTTTAATCTTGTTATGATGTTAGTGGTGTGGTTTCGCATTATCCGCTTTATTGACTTAGCGTGTGGGTGGCTTTTGGTCTCGTTAGGTAGACCTGTGGTGAAGGTATCGTAACCGGGGCCCCATATGACCATCGTCGTCATTTATTGCTTTAATTGTTCATGTATTTTATATTTCATTCTTATTAACTGCTTTCTAAATTTAGTTGCTATTTTTATGCCAATAACGTTATCGTTCACGTTTCCTGTCAGTTTCTTGTCGATTTAGGCCTTTGGAGCGTTATCATATGTAAGTTTATTTTCTATTAACTTCTGGTTATGCATTTTCTTTCCGCCCTCATCTTGTGATTGTTTATTGATTATTTCATTTTATTTACAGTCAACCGTTTTACAATAAACGCGTATGACATGGAACATCTGTGTGCCTAAATCTGACAAAGTTGAATATGACGCATTTGTTGAAGAAGTCAAATACTAAAGAATCTGAAGCAACAGTGGCTTCATCGTCGACATTTACGGAAGAAGGCGACTCTGCAGCTGACGAAACGTTGAGGGCTTGCCATCCTTAACCACGCTTAGACAAAAGCGTATCAACACAGAGACTGAGTTTGAATCATTGTTGACCAAAAGTCGAAATTTGATAAACGAGAAGGCTCGAAGATCGCAGCTGGCATGCCTAAAAACAGAGTTACATTTTAAACTGGCCGCCTATAATCAAATTATATCGAACACATTACCTCAAATTCGCAACGCAGAGTCGAAAGCTGCTTTCGAAGAATGCGTTCAGAAAGTGATATCTGAAGTTGAAGGTATGAACGATGAAATTGATAGTTACATCGACCGTGAACCTGAAATATCGTGCGTGGCTCCTGACGAAGGGAACTCTCAGATTTCAAGTGAAAGGATGGAAGAGGACAGCGATAATACAATAAATCTCCAGCCAGCGTGCGCCAAGCAGTCCGGTGGTGAAATGGGGGCGGCGACTGACCAACTTCGAGAATCTAGAGCACGAGAACACGACGATCGCCGAGAACACCAACTCTTTTAAAGAGTCCCTTTATGAGCCACAGGTTCAATAACTTTGACGAACACGACGTGTTACAATCAACTCGAAGAAAAAGTGCCCGCTTCGAACCAGAGACTTTTACCGCGTCAGATAAACGTCGTGAATATACGATTTCTTACACTCCAAGACATTACCAAAATCCTTCACCAGCAAACCAAATGCCGTTGCCAGACCAATCGGTAGACTCCTGGATCGATAATCTCCAACCAAATCAAGCAGGATCCAGAACGGTAAATGATAACATTTCTCTAGCTGAGCAAACGTGTTTATCTTTGAGTTTAAATTCTAAAATGTGGGCTGAGCATCATTTGCCGCCGGTACAAATAAGTCCGTTTGATGGGAGTGCTATAAACTGGCCTAATTTCATTGAATTGTTTTATGAAAATGTTCATTCACGGTTAGACGATGATGGTCAACGCATGGTGAGATTGTCCGCGTATTTGTCGGGTTCGGCGAAGCGTCGTGTTGAGGGATTAGGTACCGCCGGTAGTCATTACATACTGGTTTTAAAGGAATTAAAACGCCGCTACGGACAGCCGGTACTGATCGCACGGGCGGTGCTTGACCGAGTTGTAAATGGAAAACGTATGTCGCCTCTTTCGGCCGATAGATTGCTAAATTTTCACTCAGACGTGCGTGACTGCGTGGTGAATCTCAAAAAGATGTGTTATTTGGCTGACATCAGTAGCGTCGAGAATGTAAGAAGGGTTTCAAGCAGGATTCCTCAAGAACTGAACTCGAGTTGGAATAAATTTGTTGTAGGTTTTATTCACAAAAACTCTAATCCGACATTAATTGACTTTGAGCAATGGTTGTGGGAAAGAACTGAAGAAATCGCCAATCCTTTTTCTCCAGATGTTACTTGCAATGTGATCAATAGAACTGATTTAACTGACCACGAGATGCCCAGAAGCGCTCGTCGCCGATTTCCGACTCCATTTTCAACGTTATCAAACTTGGAATCCGATTATACGTCATATAGTGACGCATCACGTTGTCAATTCTGCAATGCTCGCCATTCTTTGAGAAGTTGTGAGACGTTTTTCGGTGCGACCGATTATGTAAAACGTAACTTTGTTGTAGATTACAGACTTTGCTTTAAATGTCTTGAACCGGGCCATCGTGCATTTATGTGTAGATGTGATGTCGAGTGTAGTATATGCAATGGGAAACATCACAAATGTATTCATGGAATTCGCATGTTTGAAAGCGTCCCAAGACCAATAAACCGACAGGGTATAAACAATGTGCGGTGTCGGTAACAACTAGAGTTCAATTTCAGTTGCTGCCTGTTCTGGTTAGAGGAGCTAATGGACGCTCCGAGTATACAGTTGCTTTGCTTGATTCGGCAAGTCAGGTCTCTCTCATTCATCCCAAACTTAAAACTAAATTGGATTTGCGTGGACGTCGTAAAAGGCTCATGTTAACCACCCTCGGAGGAACTGGGGTCTTGCATGACTCGGAAGCGGTCGAACTTTTTGTGCGTGACAAATTAAATCCCGACGGCGAAGAACTACATCTAAAGTCAGTTTTCGTATGTGGCACCAGAATTCCCCACCCTGAAAGAAGTCATAAAGATTTTGAAACCTTCCATCATTTACGTGGATTATCACTTCCTGACATTAGAGAAAACGAAGTTATGTTGCTCATAGGTGCGGACCATCCATTTGCCCACTTTCAACTTGAAAGACGTGTAGGGGGAGACAATGAACCGATTGCAATAAGAACACCACTCGGATGGACTTTGCTAGGCGCAAACAAACGCGCTGTGAAGACGATTTAATTCATGCTAATTGTCATTTATTACACGATGATTACAATATCTTGCAACACCAAGTTAAGCAATTTTCGAGTACGGAAGCGATGGTAATGAGCTACAACACGAAGCGCGCCGAATCTGTGGAAGATCGCGTGGCTGCGAATGTGAATAGAGCTAAAACGTCTATTGTTGATGGGCATTATAAAGTCGGCTTTCTGTGGCGTCGCGATACTTCCATTATGTCGGAGAACAGTCTTATTGCCCGTACGAGATGTAGGAATCCGAAAAAACGACTGTTGGAAAATGACGGTCTGAGAGATGTGTACTGCACCTCTATGAGCAAAAACATCAAACGTGATTGGGTGCGAGAGCTGACTGTTAAAGAACGTGATACTTTGGGTCCTCGAACTTGGTATCTTCCTCATCATGGAGTTGAGAATCCAAATAAACCTGGCAAGATACGAATAGTTTTTGACGCCGCGGATACATATTGTGGAATCGGTTTGAATAATCAGATATATTCGGGACCTGATCTCATTAAGAATCTGATTGGAGTTTTATTGCGCTTCAGAACAAGATTGATTGCATTGAATGCTGATATTGAAGCCATGTATCACATGGTGCGTCTACCACAGTCGGACACGGATTCAGTCAGATTTTTCTTGCAAGGAAATCTGAGATCCACAACCCCGCCTGATGTGTATCAATTTCTAGTGAGAATATTTGGTGTGGTCGACTCGCTATACGTTGCAAAAACCGCGCTTGATAACACCGGGCAATTTTCAATGGAAGCAGTAGAAACGGTTTTTAGGGATTGCTACGTAGACGATTTGCTTTCATCAGAATGTAATGGTGACTCCGCTTTTTCCGACGCTCAAGAAAATTCTAATATATTAGCAAGCAGGAGTTTTCGATTGAAAAAATGGCTTTCAAATTTCAAAACATTATTGTCGAAATTTAACACAGGGGATTGTCGTAATCCTGACGTTGAATCAAATTTTGATTATGTGCCCAGTTATAAGGCGCTGGGACTTCATTGGAACACTAATGACGACGATTTCTACATTGTTTACAAAGATGATTTGAAATGGGACAAAAACTTAGATAACCTCAGGAAGAATGCTCGGGAAGAGTGGACCGAATCATTAAAACAATTGACTAATTTCCATGTGCCTAGACAATATTTAGGCGCCTCGAAAACCGCTATTTATGAGATTTGCGATGCGTCTGAACAAGCTTACGTCGCAGTGGCTCACTTGCGTGCCAAGAAATGTCAGTGTGTGAATTATAGTTTGTCGATGGCCAAATCAATTGTTTCTCCGATGAAATTTATGTCCGTTTCCAAATTAGAGCTGCAAAGTGCTTTATTAGCCGCGCCCGATATTATAAACAGTCGTCCTTTTCTATTAGCGACAACGTACGTGATCCAGCTCCCCTCACGCCTAAATACACCTTTGGATCAACAGCGCATCAGAGAAGATGGAGACAAACCGAAGCAATTTCGAATCGCTTTTGGAAGCGCTGGCGACGAACGTATGTACCAATGCTGATGACTCGAACAAAGTGGAAAAAAGAGGAATTTATTGATGATGATATCGTAATTGCTGTAGATGACGACGTGCCAAGAAGACGTTGGTTACTAGGAAGAGTTACTTTTAACCGTGTGTGTGTAACTACCGTCAAAACAGCAGGTGTGGAAATAACCAGACTGGTGACGAAACTATGCCTCCTGGAAAATGAATAACCCCTTGGAGGGTTATTGGGGGCGGCTGTGTCGGCGATAGAAGTTTCTTTTCAGTTGATAATATTTTGAACGCTGTTCTTCTTTGTGTTCCGACCTGCTAATTTTTATCGATAATTGCTTTTCTGTTTTGACGCGAGTTTCGCGGGCTTTACTGCATCTGACGTGTCACGCGTGGCTCTTGCATCTCGACTTTACGCGTCGTAGGACGTTCTTGTTTAATCTTGTTATGATGTTAGTGGTGTGGTTTCGCATTATCCGCTTTATTGACTTAGCGTGTGGGTGGCTTTTGGTCTCGTTAGGTAGACCTGTGGTGAAGGTATCGTAACCGGGGCCCCATATGACCATCGTCGTCATTTATTGCTTTAATTGTTCATGTATTTTATATTTCATTCTTATTAACTGCTTTCTAAATTTAGTTGCTATTTTTATGCCAATAACGTCATCGTTCACGTTTCATGTCAGTTTCTTGTCGATTTAGGCCTTTGGAGCGTTATCATATGTAAGTTTATTTTCTATTAACTTCTGGTTATGCATTTTCTTTCCGCCCTCATCTTGTGATTGTTTATTGATTATTTCATTTTATTTACAGTCAACCGTTTTACAATAAACGCGTATGACATGGAACATCTGTGTGCCTAAATCTGACATCTGGCCAGAATATTCTCATCTCAATTTATGAGTGATTGTGCTGCTATTTCTAGCTTTTTGTTTTGTTATATTAGGTCAAGGTCAGGTCATGGTAAAGTTGACTAGAACTGAATAAGTCCACAATCCTTGTTCTACTACTGTAACATAGAAATTCACCTCAGTGCAAAACTTTTTGTCTTTTTTCAACCTGTGGGTCTGGGTTGACTGTTTTGGGTTTTGTTTACGGGTTTTGTCATACATAACTGGGTCACCTGAATATCACCTTGGGTCGCTTGTTTTTTTCGTCAAAAACTTATGTATGTGTGCCCAGAGGTAGGTGTATATGGAGGTGATTAATTTTGATTGCCTTTTGTACATCAAGTTGTGTAAAGGGACTGAAACCTATGGGCAGAGGGTATATTAATGTAAGTTATGATACATAACTTACAAATTTAATTTATGCTTGTTTTCTATTTTTCAGAATCTAATCTTTAAAATGTGATAATGCTAGCTTTGGTGATATTTCGTATTCACAATTTCATTGCTGCAAGTTTCTTTATTTTGTCAGCATTTGTACAATACAATGATCCAGATCCTGAGCTATGGATTCCAGTATATCTGGCTCCTGCTATCATTTCTGGATTAAATGGTTTTAAGCCGTCGCTATCTGAATCAAAATTCATAATAGTTTTTGACTTTGGATTTATTTTCTTTGGAACTATTTTATCTGCCTATTTGTTCCATCAAAACTATCAGGATAATTTCATCCACTGGGTGGTGCATGATGAAGTGTGGAGGGGGTTTGGTGGACTTGTGATCGTTATTTTCGGGATTATTTTTATGCACGAAACATCACATTTATCTGTGAAGAATTGGTTATTGTCGGTTTTTATTTGGATTCCGATTGCAATGTGGATTTATGTTTATAACAATCAGGAATATCGTCAACTTTGGCCTCAACATTGCCAGACTGCTCTTTATCCAGAAAGGACAGATAATAGTTATTCTCAGAGAGAGGAAAGCTGATAAGATAGCTGAACCATAACCACCGGGAGAGGGAGGGAAGATGAGAAGACGTCTACTGATACTATTTTTTATTATGAGAAAATTTTTTCAAAGCAAGGTCATGCACACAAAGTCAAAGCAAAAGGGGTGTTTTTCTGATATTTTACAGGCGGCCACTGGAGTGTCAAGAGCAGTTGACATGGTAAAGAATTATAGTGGTTAATTAGGTTTTAGTGAATCCCGAATGACACAGGGCTTGAAGGAGCTCAGGTCAATATAACTAGAAAAACAGTTGATAAATTGGAGTGTACTAATACAGATGTCCGATGAAAATATATTCAAATGTCCTATAAACCAGCATGGTTCCAAAAGCAGGGTTTGAAAAGTCAGTAAATCATAATGAAGCATTTGATTGAACATTTTACTACTTGATTTTTAGGATAGAATAGGATTTACATATTTATTCCTTTATGAAAGTCAATAATATGGCTCAATCATATGGACCAGAGCGTCTGGTCTGGTTAACAGTCCATGTCGGGTGTGGGATTAGTTAGCTAGTTATTCATTTTCAGATGCATGATGGTGGATGAAGGCAAAACCGACCAGTGGTTAATGTTACGTGAACCACCCTACGGCCGTGAGGAGTCCAGCAATCCTCTCATACATAATTCTCCCTCACAAAGGATTCGAACCTGCGCTCTTGCGCAAGGTAATCAAAGGTGCGGTGGCGGGCATATTCCCTCAATATTAAGCCTGATGCGATACATTGTCCTGTTCTCTTTTAATTTAATTTTATGACAAAAAGTAAGACTTTGGTTTGAGAGAACTTGGCTATACATTTTAAATTGTATTCTGAACACCTATGACGAATTCTACATGGCTATTTATAACTGTTGTATTCCTGTCATATTTAGCTTTGAATAAAAGAGTCAATAGTTAGAAATATCAGTAAAATGCCTCTCGAAATCAAAGTGAAGACTAATGGACATGCAAATAGGATTTTACAAGACTTGAACAGGTGAGTGTGAGACAGCGATATCTAAACTGATGGGGTCAAAGCCTAATTCGGGCAAACTATGTGACACGGTCCGAAACCGGCCTGTTTGGTAATTCAATCTGGCCCGCCTGATGCTGCCACAACCAAACTAAAACCAAACGAACAAATTTCGTTGTTTCAGCTAAAAAAATGCTCAAGGTTTCGGGGTTGTATTGTCATTTTTTGGGAGGAATTCTGCCATGTATTTCATGCCTGTAGTTTTACTAATATTCTTCAGTTCTTTATTATTACTGAAATATGTATTATCTATGTAAATCGGGAGTGCAACATGGTCATGACACTAGCTTAATCGCCTTGAAGCTTCCATCGCTCGCTATTTCTCCAACGTCTCCAGTATTAGTAAGGATTCATTATTAAAGATTGAATTAGTAAAGTATTATTAAATGTGGAGTGAGGGATGGAATAAGAGTTCTAAAATAAGGAAGGGGGGGGGGGGGATTTTATGAAAAAGATTTGGAACCACTGGGTTAAAGCATTGGACATTACTGTATTGGCATTGCAAGTAACACAGTTTGGGTTCAAATCTCATTTGATATATCAAATTTTAATTTCAGGAATGATTTAAAACTGTTTATATGAAAATTTTCTTGATTTTGACATCTGATGGTGAACACTTCATTTATATAATACCTGATTTTCCTTCTAAGACCTTACCATCAGTTCTTATATTTGTCACGTTTAATATTAAACAAGCCAACAAACAAATGAGTAGATGCATTACTGTTGCCGGTTAATAAGGTCAGGGCTGTGCTTGCTTGATTGCTTCCTGACAGATAGCCTGGCTTGACTAAGAACAGACCAACAGATGTAGAACTGAGCTTTTATTATCAGTAACAAAGAATATAATAGCTAGTATAATAGCTAGCTGTATAATTCGCTGTATATTCGCTGTATAATTACGGAGTTGCTGGTTGCTGTTTGATTACGTTGAACACAATTATTCGTTGTTTGATTTCGAAAAAGTGTCAATGAAGAAGGTAACCGAATATAGAGAAAGAGAAAATGACTGACATTCCGAGTCAACCCGACACAGGACAAATGCCGGTAACCGTACCGGTAAATGTTCATGGAAATGATGAACAGGAACCTGAAAAATATGAATCAAAAAAATTAGACCAATCAAAAACAATTACAGTAAAATTTAAAGAAAACCAGTGGCTAAGCAGGAAAGATGTTATTCAGCTAATTGATGAATACTTGAAAAAAAAAATTTCTATTGCTCAAATTATATGAGATGAATAAAAAGTGGGTGGTTACAATGAAGGAAAAGACCTTCATAGATCAACTGCTTACAGGAATTCCCTATAAATATCAAGAACAAGATTTCATGGCAATACCAGAAGAATCAGATCTAACAGAAGTATCTTTAAGTAAGGTACCATTTGAAATCCCCAATGAGGAGATGAAAAAAGTCCTATCAGCATATGGACAATGCAAGTCAGCAGTGTTCACTATTAGCGCACTTTTTTGCGAAAATTGCGAAGCACTTTCGCAACTTTTTTTAGGGACTGCGAAATAGCACTTTTTTCCGATTTTGAAGAGAAATAGCACTTTTTTCCAATTTTGATGGATAAAAATTCAAAGTTAACAAATATTTTCGAGTATTAAGTTGACAAATAAGTAACATACTAGTACTTTTGTAACTCAATTCTGCATATCATAACGATATTTACCGGAATTCTAACCTATGAGATGCAGACATAGGAGATAAAGCTTTTGCATTAACGGCAAAATTCTTGTTTATAATATGATTATTATACAAGCACACCGATTCCGCTTCTCCGCAAAAAACGCTCCCGGTGATTGAAACCAGATGTTGGAATGCAGTGCGTTCTTTGAACGAGAGTGGTCATGTGACTATCAATGATATCGATGAATTCAAAATGACTATAAAAGTGTTATGTGTTATAGTCACTTTGGATGAATTGTGACCAAACTGCACGATTTTCAAATCAGACGAAACTTTTAGCAGCATGTCACAGATTTGCAAAATCACCAAATTCACAAAATACCATTAAGTGCCATTTTATTGTAATCACAATGTTGAAAGGAGGTGGCATTTTCCGGAATTTTGCGATATTTACACAACTATTTCTCATTGATATGCGAGGACGGGTGGGCAAAATTCAATATTTTTTGAATCGAATATTTTTAAGGAGTACCGAATAAACGTGGTGGAACATTAAAAAATCGGCAACAAAGCCTTTTTACTGGTTAATTCCGTTGTAATCGCTAATTGTTCTTGTCACCGATCGTTTTGGCGGCGATATCCAGGTTTTGGGTAATCTATATTCCCGCCCTCTCTTTTTTACAAATATGAATTCTTGTGGGTCGGCGGACATCGAAGTTTTATATTTCGGGTTTACCCGTTCGTTCACATCGGCAACAGCTGTTGAAGACATTGAGGACTCAAATTAACATTTGCGTTGGCTTTAATATTACCTATCAAGATTTGTAAATTTACCGTCCCAATTTTATGCGAATGGTAATATTATTGTCCATACCGTGATGCAGATATTTATTAAGACGATAATTAACTTTCTCATGTATTTCTATGGTGATAAACTTCGCAAATCTGAAATTGTGCCAATCCTGAATGTTGATTTGAAATAGTGATTGAATAATTCGGCAATAAAGGCATTTCTGCGTGGTCATAAGACGAGATGACGTTAATGAACAGCACTTCTTTTACAGGATTTTACGTATGCGACTTAATGCTAAAAAGATTGGGCTCGAGTGCTTTTTTTTCGAGTGCTCGAGTGCCTAATAGAGGTCAGGCGCTAATTGTAACTAATTCCCTCAAGTTTCAACGTGTTTTCAACAAAACAATACCCCGGCGATAATTATAGCTAAAATGTTACCGAGCAATTCACAATTTTATTTATGGAATTTGCAAATTCACCAGTTTCTTGACGATTTTGATATTGTCACGCCCTAATTATTAGTGCAAAAAATAC